AAAAAAAAAAAAAAAAAAACATAGCAGTTACCTAAATTTGTTGTTTTTCTTGGCGATGATGCCAAAATCGACGCCACGACGAAGCGCCACGGACACCTGCTTCCGAAGGGTTTTTCCAGCCATGATGTCGTGCCTGGTACTGATTTGTTCTACGATCTCCCTCTCGGTGAAACCTTCCGGCGGTTGCTCGGTTTTCAACAGATCGTACACGAGGATCGACTTCCTCGCCATCTTGGTCTTCTCGTTCTTGCTTTCGTCAGTGGGTCGATCGGCCGTAGAATTTGCCGTGGAAAGAGACGTGTGAAAAGAATCGCACGAGGGCAAGACAAGCTGACATCATTCACCGGAAGTTGATCTCGTGTCAAACGATTACTCGAATAGTCCCGTCTACGTTCATTTGGTCGAGATGAATTCTTGAATTCATGAAAAAAAAAAAAAAAAGTGATGCGAAGTTTGTGAGGAAATTATGAGGCAAAAGTAATTATATTATTCGTAATTGTTGTAAACAATAATCTTTCTGTCTTTTATTTAATATTGTATAATAATAAATTGCAGTTAAAATTAGGGTGAAATTTCCACAGTATAGATTTGATTCTTTTGAAAAATAACTTTGATTCTTAAAATGATCGTGAGATGATTTTCAGGCAACTTGGAAGTGATCTTCGAAATGGTCTTAAAATGAGTTTTAGATAACTTTAAACGTCCTCAGAATGGTCTCCAGTTATGATACAATTCTTTTGCGACATAATGAAATATATGATACGACAAAATGTACAATGAATGAATAAATAGGAATGGAGACACGCTAAAATACTCTTTTCTCCTGGAAAAAGGCAAACGTTAAAAAAAAGAAAAAGAGCCACTTGTTACAAACCATTTAATCTGTTCATACTAGTTTAATTCCATATAAAATTCATAACACGAGTTTGAAATGTTCTTAGATTTTTAATTACGGAAAAAATCGGGGATGAGTGAAATCGTACGTAATATAATTTCTGATGAAAAAATAGGAAGGATAACACGCGAGTCATATAATTTTGTAAATTAAGCTCTGCATAATATTTACAAAAATTCTGCTCCTCGCAATTAAGCTATATTTGTGTATACCTATATTTTTCGAGGTTCAATTTCGATCTTACGGTCCGACAAAGAGGAAACTAATAAAACGTTGTGTTTCATCGAATCTGCCAGAAATTGCATTTTGAAATCACGTTTACTTTTTACAAGCCCTGGCTCGGTGTGTGTTTGCTTGCTCCAGTATTTGCGCTTGCCGCATTTATTGCATCCCCGACGCGTGGAACTAGCTAAACGACGTGTTCAAAACGTGTAAATTAAACTCACTTCACACACACACACACACACACACACACACACAGAAAGGAGTCATTTACGCGCAGTCCTTCCGCAGTACTTCCAACTTGCCTCGAAAGACTTTGGCTTAATTTTTCCACAACATTGATTTTGAAATTCCACTCGGACGATGGTGCTCGAATGATTGTGATTTTCAGGTGATTTTTAAATGATACTTGAAAAATTCCGAAAAAAAGCAATTTAACCATAAATTTTTAAGTTAGATGAATATTAGTAATACTATAGTTAGTAATTATAGTTAAATAGAGATAATACTATAGTTAGTAATTATAGATAAATAGAGGTTATTAGTAAGATTAGAAACTGTCAAAAAAAATTCAGTCAAATTAAAAATTTTAAAATGGAGTAATTTAACTCTAAATCGTTAGATTCGACTGGTTTTAGATTAGGTTTAGCAATTATAATACTTTAGTATTAGTATTAGTGCAGAAATCGAGGTTAGTATTATATTAGTAATAGTAATTTATAATTAGTAGATATTAATAATTGAGTGGAGATAAGATTCAATGAAATAAAAGATTCTAAACTAATCAACATAATTTTAAATTTACTGTGGTTCCTAATGATATCAATAACATCAACTATGAGCTAAAAATCTTCAAAACAATCTTAGGTGCAAAATTCAAGACTTTTAAAGTCTTTTGAACAAAAATTCTAAATACTAGAATTTGCAAATATTTTCTCCATCGCTGTTCCTTTCGCTTGGACTTTAGAATTGTTAGAAAATTTAAGAAATTATCGCGCGAACTGAATTCAGTGAAAGGAAAAGGTCTCTATCTTAGCCACTATCTCTCACGCTCGGAAAAATTTAAAAAAATTCGCTCGACACTCCATCATAGGTTGATTCTTCCAGCTAGATCCTGCAGTTTTCTAAAATTCAAAGAAAACTACAAGCATTCGCTTAATCTTCGAAAACTTCTCGGCAAAGCACAGAGATCACCTGATCGTGGTCGCACGATGGTTTTCTTAAAAACTTCTCCACGTACGTACGAACTGCAATCGAGGCGCGATCGTTCGTCCTTCGAACGAAATTCCTGAGCGTTACACCTGAGCTGAGTCGTCGTATCCGCGACTTCGGCGTATCCGCAGGATTCCCGTGGCGGAGCACGATGTTTGCCAAGAGGGACGCGGATACTGGAGAGTTTAGAAGGAGCGGCTGGCTTTGAGGATAGCTCCCCGAAGGAGGACAAGACGGGATTCGAGTGTGTGTGTGTGTGTGTGTGTGTGCGCGCGCGCGCGCGCGTGGGTGGTTGGTGGGTTGGCAACGTCGGTGCTTAGAAAGAGGGAACACGGCTGGATGGCCAGCGACTCTGATTTCCGTCGGGAATTTCGCCCTATCCGGCGCAACCAGGCGAAGCCGCCTTTAATCATTCGATTGCCGCTGCTTAGAGTCCTTCCTCGGCTGGGACCGATATCTAACCGCCGCCCGCCATATTTACCCAACAGCATCCGCTGGACCAGACGTCTCTCCGCTGGCGCACGGTTAATTAATTCCCCGTTTTTCTTACCGTTTCGTCCTAGTTAATCTCAATGGTGGATGGGATCTTCGTTCCATGATTTTTTGTACAAAGTTGTTTCGTTGATATTTGATTATTAATTAAAAAATTGAATCTTCATAAGAAAATAAGGGACAAAAAGAGTTTGTATTTTTTTTTTTTTTATTTGAATACACAGATATTTGCTTCTGCTGGTAGTTGTTTAATTGTTAATTAGACAGATGAGATAATTGGATTTTGTATATCTTCTTATGAAATATTATAAATTGTTTTTGTCTGTTGGAACGAGTCTCAATAAAATCGCAGGATGGTTCTTTAATCTTGAACTAAATTTGAAATTAGAATTAAAATACAGCTTTTATATATAATATATAAAGTATATAATACATAAAATATATAAATATATAAATATAATATATAAAGTATAAATAATAATAATTAAAGTTTTATAACGAAACCAAATCTAGGTACAGTTATTTCTCAAATAGAAATTAACATTAGAAACTTCTATTATAATTAAATTAAAACTCGTCATTTTGAAAATTTGATAATTCCAATGTTAAAATAAAATTCTTATCACTTGGAACGATAAATATTTATTCGAAACAACGTTACTTCACGCTGAAATCTATTTTATTTTAGTATTCTCCCGTTGGATCACGGTAAAGTTTTGCCAAGAAAGAATGGAACTGTAGAAGCAGTCTACTCCTTTTTCGAAAGGAGAAGGTCCTGTTTCGTGCTTGGACTTTTTAAACGAGATCAAAGTGAAATTCTAGTGCCGACTCCTACTTCATCCTATAGCGTAGAACAGAAATTGATTTTTATTGTGTTCTTCATTAGGTCAATTTAGACTAAACAGTCTGTCTCGAAATCATGAAGTGCGCTTCGTGCTCTACATTCTGAAATCAACGTGGTCCAAAATTCAATTACAATGGCTTCCTAGCTATTCTGCTAAATCTCCTTAATTTTCTTCACGTTTTATCAGAATTTTTCGGAAAATTCAATAATCTTCTTTGGATCAAGAGACCAAAAGTAAAATGTTGATAAAGTAGTAAATATATTTTTCTTACAAATTCCTCCTTTCACGAAGCATTGTTTCATTTTAATCCTATATTAATTAAACTTTGTCAGATTTTCGATTGTTTTCTTGTTCTTTCGAAATTTTTCAAATCCAGGCAGTCTCGTACTGTGTAATAATTTATCTTTCTTATGAAATTTCACAAGACATTGTCCTAAAAAAATTTTTTTCGCTTTAATTTGACTATTCAAACTTCTTCAAAAGGCTTCGACTGTTATTCAGAGGAGCAGAAGATTTTTAATGAGTAATTGTTCGTCTTCCTTAGAAATTTTCACGAGATAATCTTCTTAAGTAAACGTTGGTTACTTCCTCAATATCTTTCTTTTTGTCCCTGAAATGTTAAATATTCTGAATATTCAATGTTTCAATAAGAAAAGATTTACCTCGTATCTTCAAGTCTTTGTCCAAACAAAAAAAATTAAATTTCTTTTTTAAATGCCATAAATTCTAAACATTCCAAACGTTCTGTCGTTTAAATCGAAAACAATCTCCTTTTCAAATCTTTTTCCGTAACAAAATATCACATTTCTTTCTAAACTTTTAAATATTCCATAAAAATCTTCTCTGAATCAAAAATTGCAAATATTTTCTTCATTCAATTTTTCTCAGGTTCAAACAACTCCGAATGCTCTGTTGCTTGAATATAAAGAATTCTTTTAATTCTCTAAATCGAGTCCAAATTATTGAATCGAAAGTTCAAATTTCGTTCTTCTTACCCTAAAATTCTACATGGATACTATATTTTGAGCAAACAGATATGCAAAATAACTAACATATAAAATAACAGTATTAAAAACATTTAATACTATTAAAATACTACTATTAAAACAACAGTATTGAAAACTCTTTCCTATCTTTTGTACGCTTTTTCCAATTTCTCTGACACAAATTTCATCAGCTCTTGCCCTCCCCCTCCCCGAAAAAAAATCAATTCTCCTTCAAATGTCGAGTAAAAGAAAATCGTTGCAGCACCAGCATCACAAAACCGAATTCTATCAGATCGACGGACAAGAGGGTAGCCTCATAAATCCCGGCACCGTGATCATGGACGAAAACGAATAAAAACGAAAGGAGAATCCGTTCGATCTGGACGGAATGGAGTGGTTGGTTCGTGCTCGGCATCGTCGAGAACGATAGAACCGAAGGTTTCGATCGTCTTCCCTTTCCTTGCGCGTAGAACGGACCCCGTGGGGCATTCGGTTTCCCGGTTTCCGCGGCGCTTTTTCCAATTGTGCCGGCCCCCAGCTCGCCCCTAACTCGGCCGGTCCTCCAAGTCACTGCAAGTG